TCCACAAAGATATTGATCCAGCTTCGATTCGAGGAAACCCAGTCATCGAACCGCTCTCTGGCCAATGCATGAATACCGCCCTCCTGGCTTCGTGTCTGGCCTACAGCGATGTGTTGATTTGAATGGAGGCCATTCTCTAAAGAGCGGTCCGACATGGCATTGACATCATCCATATGATTAGTCACATTCGGTGCTGAGCCTGAAGCACCACTGACAATACTTGAGGTCGATCGCTGAGCTACAATCCATAACTCCGGGAGGTTTGAGCCTCCAGAAAGATTTATGCTGCTTCCTGATGAGCTCGAAGTACGGATCATGGAGCCTTTCATACCATTATCGCCCTCTTGGACCACCGTCGGCAACTCTACATCGATAATACCATCATCCCCTCCCATGGTCGGTTCTCGCCCGTCGTCATCGACTCCTATAATGGAGTGATGGAAGGCCGCATTGTGCTCTGAATCTGGAATCGGAACGGATGGCCCACCGTTGTCACCATCCCTGGAGCCCGCCCCTCCTCCCATACCAGCATCGCCTACCTGGGATAGAAAAATTCTGAACTGGTCCTGCGCATTTACTACGGAGTGTCTTGGTCCATTTCCAAAATTAGGAAGTCCAAGCTGACTCCGTGTCTCATTCGCAATTTTGCGGTGCCGTATCATCGTACTTCGAGCAACAGGCTTTCCGACGTGATTGCACTTACACCTATACGCCGCTAGACAAATGTACTTCTTGTCACCGACCGCGGCCATGATAAATGAAAGGTAGACAGGGAGCTGTTAGTTGGGAAATAGAATCTTAAGTAGATTGTTTGCAGGGAAGTCAGAAGCAGGTGTCACCTCTTCTATGCCAGGGTGAAAAACTTAACCTGTATTCGCGGGAGTATCTCGCGTGCCTCTTCTTTCTGCGCCGTGAATTGATCCTTCATGTCCAGTTGTACGAGATTGTGGGGAATAAATCATGTCTGAGTACACGATGTACACGAAGCGAAAGATCGTCGACTACAGAATACCCGCCCTCTTTTCGCTTCGCAAAGAGCACAACGCTTTGCGTTTCGAGAAGAAAATACGTCGGGGACACAAACCGACGCGATCATTCACTCCGAGCGAATGTGATTTTGGATAGCAGACCCATCGCCAATGTCCATTGTTACAACCCCCAACTCTCACTGTCACCATTTGATTTTCACCTTTCAGCGAAATGCAGGCAGATCTGCATGAGGGGCTCCTGCCTGACTCGGATGTCCGCAAACGCATTGCTGAGCTCCTGCCACGGCTTCGCCCGACGGGTCTTTTTCCGAATGATGCGAATGTTGCCCGTCCTCCCCCCCTCCCTGAAAGCATCGCAAAACGAACCAACACAAAGAAAGATAAGCGAAACCCCACAGTGCCAAAAGGGAAAGATACCAATGCTTACTTCAATACTATCCGAGAAGTAGGGAACCATGTCCGTGACCACAATGAACTTCACGCCAATAATCCGAAAATGCAGTATCGTTGGTATGGCCCTGAGGTTGATGACAAAGAACGGACGGAGACGTTAATGCGTATTGTGGACGATTTGGCTCCAGGAATTCTAGGGAAAATGTATGGTGCAACGACTTACGACAAGATTCATCGCTCGAAGCCACATCATCTGCAACTGCTCGTTCTTGAATGCTCTTTAGATCCAAACTTCGACCCTCTGACGCAGGGCGTTCGCAACTTCCCAACTCGCAAGGTTGTCGGTACGAAGCTGACATCCAAACGAAAGGTATGCCTTGAGGCGGTAAAACGGGAGGCTCGCAAAGGTCGTGAGGATTCAATCATATTAGAAGAATTGGGCGGAAGCAGCCGTGGATCACCTGTGGAATGTGGTGATTCGACAAACATCGATGGGTCAATGAACATTGAACGACAATGGAACACAAGAAATGGTACAGCCGTATCCGTGGTTGATGATCTCCCGAGAGATGTTGTTCAACAGTACATGCCGGATCGCGCCGATGATGACAAGTTGGGGCCAGCAGACATACATACTCGCGCAGTTACCTTCACTGACACGCCTGTCTCGTTATATCACACTCGCAATACAGATCTGGAGACCCGAAGAATTGTTCAGAATGATGGTGTAGATTCCAGATTAGAAGATAGGAGGCATATGAATCCAAATACGTATGATGCCGCCGCAGATGATATCGGGATACGGGGTACTCTGAATGTCGGAGTTGCGAACGCACCTAATTCGGGAAGGCCCAAGACGGCAGTTCAGGGCGAAGGAGAAGAGCACGCCTCATACAAAGACATATCGCATCGCCGATCATGTTCCAAGGCTTCGCTCCATGCATCTCTAGCGTCTCGTGTGCGCGCAAACCCCCTCGTAAGAGGCAAGGGGAAGAAAGGTGACATATCCAAAAGCAGAGTTCATCGAGACCGTGTGCGAAGCACCCAACGGAACAACGGAAGTAATTACGTTGATAGAGCTGCAGGTCAGTCCTCCGCAAGTCCCAAAAAGAAACACAGTTCATCTGCAAAACGAACGAAAGAGGCGGGCAAGGATCATGAAGAAGATGATGAGAGCACATCTTTTGCTGAATACATTGCCTGGAAGGCTTCCCAGAAGGCGAAAGGTCGTGCGCATGCCGGCACGGCCGCCACGAGGCGCAATACGAGTTCCAAGTTGCAGAAGAAGAAATCGCGCTCTTATGAAGAGTTACATACGTCTGAGGATTCGGTTTAGCGCGTTCCTCAACTGACGGAGAATGCTAAAAAATGTGAACGCACCCGTGAACTTGATCAATACTCGTTGGGAAACATTTGCAAGTGGTGTAGAAACTTGAGACGAGACTTTACCATCTGATCTTGTTGAGATGGCATACGAAATTTCCCTGCCTGGCCCTGCTAGTTAGTTGATGCTGGGGGCGCAAATAGGATTAGTGAATGAATGAAACAGTTTCCTTACGGAACGCAAATCCCAATTGTCAAAGCAGGGAAGGTTAGTAAAGGTAGCAATGATATTACCGAAAGCGACGTCCACCGTAAAAGGGCAGTGTTCATGCATGGAGGAGCGGGGTGTACAGTAATTAAGACTAGTGCAAGAGGCGCAAGCCAGGGGGGGGCGCGGTTCACAAAAAATCTCGGCGCGGCGCGACGGAGATACAGGATCTGCCGCGGGGCGACGGGGGAGCCGAGGCCGGCCGAACTAACATGCAATCCGGCGGGGCGTGTGTAGCCGCCAGCGTCGCCCGGCCGCGTCGAGCGGTAAGGAACCGGCGCTGTCTGCGCGGGACGCCGCGCGGGCAGCGCGGCGCGTGTCGGCCCCCCGGTGGGGTGGAAAGCGTCACGCGCGTGACGGCGTTCCAGCGGGGGGAATCTTGGGGGGCGCGCACGGCATCATACCGGCGCGGCGAGCGCCGGGCGCTGCGCGCGGCAGCGATATATAAGCCGCACCTTGGCGTACGGGGAGCGCTCGCTCTGGCCGGCAGCGGCGACATCTCAGCAACGCACGACGAAGCATGTGTGAGCGGGGGCGAGCATCCGAGGAGTCTACGGGGTTCCGGCCGGTGGCGGGCGGGGGCGGGGCGACTGCGAGGGGGGCGGAGGCCGGGCGCTGGGCGGCAGGCGGGGACGCGCGCGGGCAGGCCGTGGGGGACGGGGCGCTCGCAGCGGACGCCGGGTGTGGCAACTG